TTTTCACCAATAGGCATGACAACACTTTTCTTATATCCCACCCACTAGCAAGTGACTACATGACTTAAATTTTTACTTATTGTTATTTTAGCTTACATCTCCTTGACTCTAAGTGAATTTAAGTGTCTTTTTACATGTTTGAGGCTCTTAGGATTTGTTCTTCTCTTTAGTGTCAATTCATGTCCATTGCATATTTTCTGCAGGATTTGATCATTTTTTTTATCAATTTGTAAGAGTTTCTTGTATATTAAAAATTAACATTTTTCTATCATATACTTTATTAATATTTTCAATCTATTCTTGACTTTATCTTATATTTTAAGATTTTGTATACAAATTTGTCTATCATTACTTTTACAGCATTTAAGTTTCCATTGTCAATCTACTTGCCTAGATTTTAAAATCTAAGTCTTTAATTCATCTGTAGTTTGTTTTCATATATGGTATATGATAGTGTCATTTTAATTTTTTTCCAGAAAGAAGTCAACTCTTTATTAAATGACCCATCTCTTTCCCCCTGAAATAAGTTGTACTATATAACTGTCCCTTTGGAATTTAACTCTATGTCTATACCACATTGATTTGTTTACTGCAGCTTTAGTTTCTGATCTGGTAGGAAAAACCCCCCTTTTTCTTTTTCATATCCTAATAATGTTTAATCATTCTATCCAGTTCCAAGAAAAAAAACACTTATTTTCATTGTAATGAAAACTGCTTGATCTCAATCTTAGGAGAATTATTATATTATTATTATTGTTGTTGTTGTTGTTATTTTATTATATAATATCTCAAAACATGGAGGCCTCTTGGCTATTCAGATCTTCTATCACCTAACAAGGTAGAATCAGTTCTTTATATTTTGTTAGTTTCTTGTTAGACCTCTACCTCAGCAATTTTACAGTTTTTATGAATATTACATATGGAACAGTATAGTCCCATTTTTATTTTTACTTGATTCTTATTAAAGTAGAAAAGCTGTTGTTTTCTGCATACTTATCTTGCTTCCATTTATATTCTCTCTCTCTCTCTCTCTCTCTCTCTCTCTCACACACACACACACACACACACACACGGTACTAGGGATTAAACTCAGCAGCACTCTGTCATTGAGCTACATCCCCAGCCATTTTTCCTTTTTATTTTGAGACAAGATCTCTTCTAAATTGACCGACCAGGTTGGCCTCAAGTTTGTGATCCTCCTCCCTCAGCCTCCCGTGTCCTGGGGATTAGATTGTACTGGCTTTTCTCATTCTTTAAATATGTCTTATTGCTTTTCCTTCTGAATTATTTTGGGTTTTCTTAAATGTATATCCCTATCAAAATACATGTTTTTGTTTATTTTCTAATGTTTATGCTCATTATTTCAGCTTTTTGTCTTGTTTCATTTGCTAAAATAATGTTAAATTATAACAGTAGTACAAGAATCAGTCTGATTTTTGACTAAAATTGAAAGGCTTTTACTGTTTCCCTACTTAAGATCATACTTGTGGGCTGGGGTTGTATCTCAGTGGTAGAGCACTTGCCTCCCATGGGTGAGGCACTGTGTTTGATCCTCAGCACCACATTAAAAATAAATAAATAAAGATATTGGGTCTAAAAATCTATAACTAAAACAATTTTTAAAAAGATAATACTTGTATTGGTTTCCGAAAATACTCTTTTCTTCTTCTGTCCCTAATTTTATTAAATTAAAAAAAATACATCACAGCAGTAATTAAAAATGTACAAAGATTTCACTTGCCTTGATCAGTTCCGGTATGTAGCCTTTTGTCTGTCTAAATATTTCCTTCTATACTTGGAGTTTTTATTTAAAATGGCTGCTGAATTTTAGCAGTTATCATTTGAATACCTAATGAGATTTTCCTCTTCCTTAGGTTGGTGATGTAATGGATTGTGATCACCTTAGTGGAATTTAGATACTGAACCATTCTTGCCGTCGTGAAATAAATCTTGCTTGTTCATTATCTTTTGTCCTTTTGATATAATAAAGATTTTTATAAATTAGTATTGTATTTTTCATTTTGACCACTAAATTGTGAGATTCTTCTATATAGTATTAATTAGTAATTATTAATCTGTGCTTTTTGCTTCTTGGGTTTTATATTAAAATTATATTGGCTTTTAAACATGAATCTTAAGGGTTTTTCTATGGCTCAAAGTAGATAAATATGCATGTTCTAACTAGATCCCAGGTAATGCTGCCGTATCAGTCCCTGGACACAATTTGAGCAGCAAACATTTCAATAATGACACATTAGAATCATCAGAACTTAGAAGCAAATTAACATTAGAACAATTAATCATCAGAACATTCGAAGCAAATTAACACTCAGCTGTGAAGTCATCTGGCTCTAAGATATTTCCAGAAGTAAACTCCAATCATCTTACCATTCTTCTGTAATAATTGGTTCATTCCTGTTTTCATTCTTTTCTTGGGTCCATTTTACTAGTTTATATTCTGACATAAAATTGTATGTTTCCTGCAGCTTTTCACATATATGGCCACAAGATTGCCCATAGTGAGTCTCTTAATTTCTCAGGACCCTGTGAGTATGACTCTTTTCTCATTCTTAATCTCTTCTATTTTCTTTTCTTTTTTTTTCTTTCTTAAACCTATATATTGTCTATTTTATTATTCTATTCAATAAACTTTTATTTTCAGTAGACTTGTCATAATTATCCCTTATTTTTTTCTATTTCATAATTTCCAACTTTTACCTTTAAATTCCAACTTTCTAGTTTTTCTAAATTTTTGAGATGATTACTTAGTTCTCTTACTTTTTGGTTTTATTTTTAACTTGTGAAATCATTTGAGGGCTCTAAATATTCCTCTAAGCACAACTTCCAGGATTCTGTCAATCTTAATAAGAAGTGGTTTTTCTCTTTGTTGGTTTCTAGATAGTAAGTTCCCTTTTAAGTCCTTTTTGATTCAAAACTCATGTAAAAGTTTAGTTTGTTCCTTAATTTTTAACTATTTAAGTTTTTATGTCATTATTTATCATGAATCAATGATTTTTCAGCTTTTGATCAAAGAATGTGACCTATATAGTCTGTTGTCAAAGCTATCTTTGCAACCATGCATATGGAAAAATTTTATACAACGTTTATATAAATATTTTTAATGAAAAAATATTTCTCTTCCTGTGGGATGTAAGAAGTGCTTATATGTACTATATAAAATCATGTGCTTCTAGCTGGGCTTGGTGGCGTACACCTGTAATCCCAGAGATTCAGGAGGCTTGGGCAGGAGGATCACAAGTTCAAAGCCAGCCTCAGCAACTTAAGATAGGAACTAAGCAACTTAGAAAGACCCTGTCTCAAAATAAAAAAATAAAAGGGCTGGGGATATGGCTCAGTGGTTAAGCATCCCTGGGTTCAATGCTAGGTACCAAATATATATATATATATATATATATATATATATCTGCTTCTATTATTAAGCTCATCTGAGTAATTTTTGGACTAGCATTTCTATTATTTTGTTGGTCTGAATGCTTTTTTGATTATTAATTCTGGCTAATAACGAGAAATACATTTTGAAATCTCCCATTGTAATTCTGTATTTATAAAATTCTCCTTATTTTTACATATTTAGCTGCTAAGTTTTTTGATGTCTGTAGCACTGTGTCACCTTTGTCATATGTGTCCTTTATCACAGCATTAAGGGTGCTCCTTATATTATAAATGCTTTCATCCTGAATTCCACTCCACTGATGCAAACGTTGCCATTTCTGCTTTCATTTCTCATTTGCCTAACCTTCATTTGCCTACTATTTTATTTTTAGCCTTTTATTATCACTTTGTTTCAAATATGAATCAATATCTTGATATCAAATATGAATCATATCTTTGCCTTAATATTTTTCTAGCCCTTCAAACTTCAGCTTTTTAATAGAGTTCATTATTTCCTCCCTAAATCCCTTTTATTTTCTATTATAGTTTCTAGAAAATAGAATGTAAAATAGAATAGAATAGAAAATTGTGTTTTCTATTATAGCTGTCAATCTTAATTGTGTTGGAAAGCTCTTGTTTTGCTGTGGAGCTTCCAATCCCCCTTGCTCTGACAAGGGACCAGATCTTCTGTTGGGTGTTCCCTTCCCTACTCTCAGCCCAGGATATGAGGATATACCATTCAGAGCATATCCATGCCCACTTCAGGAGAGGGTTTGTGACTGCAACCTGGCCAATTGAGCAGCACCTTCCTCTAGCCTCAGGGACCCAAATGAAATGACAACAGTGCAATTGGACCTAAACAAGATGGCCACTTCAGAGGTACTATAGAGCACAGGCCTGTAGAAACCAGACCCTTTGGGCTCAAATCCTGGTTCTGTCTTTTATTTGAAACTTTGGCCCTAGTTGCTTACTTTTTCTCAGTTTTCCTACCTGTAAAATAGTATGTATCTCATAGCATTGTTGTAAAAATTCTGTGTCAATATGTGTAAAATACAGAACAATGCCTATGGAGTAATAAGCAAATAGTTGTGATAACTCTTGTCATTGCATATTTTCTTACACCAGGATATGGGAGCCATTGACATTAAGGTGCACATGGAGTTGAGGAGGAATGAAGTCAGCATGAAGGACAGTAGAGCCAAGAGTAGAAACCTCGTTTGAGGGAACAAGGAGTTCCAAAACTGGTTATGCCTGCAATTCTTCAACAGTGTGAGCCCCCAAAATCCCCTATTTGCTTAATATTCTGTGGCTTGTGTCCAAAAAAAAAAAAGTCCTGACTTACACAACTGTTAACCTAGTGACCCAGGTTAGAAACTTGGAGCCATTTTTAATTCTTTCCTGTCCCTCACTGTCCACATTCAACATGACACATCCACTCATTGTACTTCCCCAATTTACTTTCACTTTGATTCTTTGTTTCTACTCTTACAACAAAGGGGGATGGGGAGAAGGAAAATGAATGTTTCTGAATACTTATTAAATACTAACAGCTGAGCTAGGACCTGTGGATTTTTTAATCCTATCAACAATCCCTTGAGGACCCTGAAGTGCAGAGACTGTGAATAACTAGTTTAAGGTCCCACAGTGAGCCAGTGGTGAGGCCACACTGGGCACCACTGTGGATATCACCTAGATAAATGCTTGCTGAATGTCTAACCCCAAGAACAACACCTACAGAACTCACTCCTGTCAGTACCCCACGCGGCATTGACATGCATGTCTACTCAGTCTTTTTTGAAAATGGCAATGACCCTCAATCAGTCTACTTGTTGTGGAACAGATGAGGCAGGACACCGAGGAAATAACAGGAAGCAGGTTTATTGGCTGCAGCCAGGTCCAGAGGGGGAAAAGGCTTTCACCACAGTGGATCAATCCCCTGAACCCCGACTTTAGAAAGTTTCAGAACTTTTTACCCAGTGTGTAGGAGGAGGGGCTCAGAGGCTCACCATCTACAGAAGTCTACACAAAAGCAGCTTTTTTCACTGTTCTGGGCTTTGAGCCCAGGCCTGGAATTCAAGCCTCTATGGAGGCCTCAGGTTAGCCTTTCTTATCACATCCTGCTTCTGCAACACACCTCCCGCCTGAAAACTTTTTCAGAAATTCTTGCTGACTGTCTAAGAACAGTTATGATGAGGGTCTCTGGAGAAGCTTAATTCAGATTTTCTGTGGAGGAGTGGGTGCCACTACATACGTCACACATAACTGTACCCTTGTTTTTCTCAGGGCTTCAGTCATCAGCCACAAAGTCTACCTATTCTCAGTCCCAAAGCTTGCTGCCAGTCTATTTTCAAAGAAAGGAGTAACTCCAGCTAAGTTGTAATCGTGTCACATTCTTTAATTATAGAAAGAAACAAATGCCTAGCGATTGTCTTGGCATAAATTCACACATACATGTACGCACACACAAGCACTGCCAGTCTGTCTCCTTAAAAATAAAGCTCTTTCCAGAACAGGCCTGTAAAGATACTTGACTTCCTCCATTCCTGGGCTCTTTACATTGTCCATTAGAAAATGCTTATTCCTGGGCTGGAGTTGTGGCTCAGTGGAAGAGCGTTTGCCTCACATGTGTGAGGTCCTGGGTTCGATCCTCAGCACCACATAAAAACCAATAAAAATAAAGATATTGTTTCTATCTAGAACTAAAACAATATTCTTAAAAAAGAAAGAAAATGCTTATTGCTAAGTGAAATTAGCCAATTCCCCAAATCCAAAGGTCAAATGTTTTCTCTAACATGGAACGCTAACCCACAATAAGCGGGGTCGGGGACAAAAAAAAAAGAATAGAAGTTCAGTAAAGTAGACAAAGGGAAATAATGGGAAGGGAGTGGGACTAGGAAAAGGAAAGACAGCAGAATAAATCTGACATAACTTTCCTATATACATGAATATACCACAGTGAACCTCGCCATCATGCACATCCACAAAAAAAATTAATTTTTAAAAAATAATTATGGGTATATGGCAGAAAGGTCAGTAGAGGGAAGGAAGCTGAGGGTGGGGGAGAGAAGGGGAAGGCGAGGTACTGGGAACTGAATTAGAACAATATATACTCCATGCTTGTATAATTATGTCAAAATGGATTCTACTGTCATGGATAACTGAAAAGAACCAATAATTTTGAAAAGAAAGAAAGAAGAAGAAAATGCTTATTGCTCATCGGGCAAGGCAAAGGAGTCCCCTCTCAGTTCCTTTAATCTGCTGAGCTCATGCTGGGTTTTGCCCTCTATCCAGATGCTCTCCCCCACACACTTGCAGCCAGCACTTGCTCTTCCTTTGAGAAGGATGCTCTCCCCCACACACTTGCAGCCAGCACTTGCTCTCCTTTGGGTCTCCTTTGGGTCTGTCCTTTGGGCCTCTTCTTTGGGTCTCTCCTTCATGGGGGGCCTTTCCTGCCCACCTGAAGGTAGAGTTCAAATGTCAGCCCTTGATGGTTTCCTTTGAAGCCTATAGAACAACATGCAGCCATTTACCTACTTGTATGTTTAGTTGGGGTTTATGTCCAGATGGGTTTTCTTTTTTGTCTTTCTCCTTTATCAGAATGAATGGGATGGGTGTCTTCAGAGCAGGAAACATGCTTGTTACCATTGTATCCCTCCTGCCTCACACAGGCCTGATGTGCAGCACCTGCTCAAAGTTTATTTGGTAAATGAATGAACAAAATAATCAGCGACTGGAACATGAAGTCTGTGGGTTGATTTTATTCTAATTACAGATGACCTGATGGATCCCTTTAATGCAGCTAGATAAGGTAAATGATAAAATGGGTAAATCCCCAAACCTAGAACCTCTTTTTTGATAGAATTCAGTTGTTCCCTAAATGATTACTGCATTATTTTCCTCTTGTGTGGATGGCTTAGACTACGACTCCAAAGGTACTTTAATGCCATCCCATGGGATCCTGAATTCTCATGCCTTTGTCTGGGCCCCAACACTAGAGTTATCTGAACTCCATAATGGCAAAATTTCATGTCTTTACCTTGCCCCACTGGGGAGGCAGGCAGGTGAGATATACTACTGTGGAGAAGAGGGATGCCCAAGACACTCTGGAAAATCTAAAATCAGACACATATTCTGAGGGGGGCCTGAGGTGTGACAGCAGAGGGAGAAAACATGACTAGCACATCGCTTCTTCATTTCCAGGCTCTCTGTCCTGATGCTCACTCTGTCCTCAGGGCAGACCCATGAGGTTGAAGCTGTGACCACCATTTTGTATTTGAGAGTAGTGGAAAAGCATGGGCTTTGATGTCAGGTAGGCCTGGCTCAAATTTCCCCTTTCCTAAATTACCCACTTAGGGCCGCTGGGCACTGGCTGCTCAATACACAAGTCATCACAACACTTAAGGCAGTTGTGTGGGGCTCTTTCTCCGTACTTCAAGCAGTCAATCAATCCTGGCACCAGATTCTGCAGCAGATACCAGCTGCATGTCCCCTTAACCAGTCCAGTTCTGATACTGTCTACATAACAGTAGCATTGGATCCCACAGGTTGAGGGCTTGATCCCACAGGCTCTCTCTCCGTTTCAGAGGCCAGTTGTAGGTGCAGGCATGGCTTGTGCTGTTGACTCATCAGCTATCACTTGGGACTCCCATGGACCCCTCCTTGAGTTTGATTCATTTCCTAGGATGATTCATAGCACTCAAGGAAAGACTTATGTTTATTAGCCTATTATAAAGGGTATTCCAAAGGACACTGAGGAACAATAAAGAGATGCATAGGGCAAGGTATGTGGGCAGGGGCATGTGGGCAGGAGTATGGAGCTTCTGTGCTTTCCCTGGGGCACACCACTATTCAGATATTCAGCTATCTGGAAGCTGTCTAGATCCAGTCTTTTTTTTTTTTAATTCAAGCTTCATTACATAGGCATAATTGGCTAAATTATTGACTGTTTGGTGATCAACTCAACCTTAAGACTCTCTCCCCTTCCTAGAAATTGGGCTGGGTGGGGAGAACTAAAAGATTCCAACTTGCTGATCATGCCTTGGTCTATCTTGTGACCAGATCCTATCCTAAAGCTACCTAGAGGCTATTGGCCACCAGTCATCTTATTAATTCACACAAAAACATACTTATCATTCTGGAGATTCTGAGGACTTCAGGATACCAGGAAATAGGGTAAATAGTAAATACGTGTTTCACAATATCACAGGTAAGTTACTTAACTTCTCTGGGCTCAATTTCTTGATCTTTATCATAATAAAAACTGATTTTTTTCTGTGTCAATTGGTAAAGCTATATATAGATACATTCATCAAAATGAACTTATTTGTGCACAGCACATACTGGGTACTCAATAATCAAAGTTATTTATTAAAAGGACTATCAAAGATCCACACAGGAAGTGGCCTAGAATGTGAAGACCTCTTGCTTCATAAGATCCAGGCTTCGTGGTTTGTCTTGCCTCCAAGGTCGTCAGCTCTTCCAGGACAGAAATGGGGCCTCATATCTTTTTGATTTAGTGACCTAGATATGAAGTGGTTATTATTTACACACTAGCCTCCCAAAATAACATAGCATTTATTGTGCTGATACTGACTTTTCTATCCAATGATACGTGTGAATGGTAATAGATGGCGCAAATGCCTCTCTGAATAAGTCAGCACCAGGATATCCCTTCCCACTTTATCTGCCAAGTCCAGGAACAAGCCTCTCAGCACACTTCTGGCCAGGAAGAACATGAAGCAGGGTTTTAGTCAAGTGAGTCACTCAATTTTTATATTCAGGTATCATGAAAGGAAATATGACTCCTAAGACTCATACCTATAGGAATGAAGGAGATTTTAACCTCTGCTAAACTAATAGATTTTTAGTCAGCAAAGTTGGAAACAATCAAGGTATTTAAATACAATATAATGTGTGTGTGCGCCTACCTAATGATTCATTATGTGATTCATTTCCCATTTCACCCCTCCACCTGATTCCTTAGAACTTCCAATTTTACCTACTGTGATTTTCTGTTATTCCATCCCCCTGCCTTCCATCTGGCCTCAGGCCCTCTGCAACCCTCACTTGCTATGAAATTGCTCCTTCAGGCCTCCATGATGTCAGTTTTACCTTCTAGAATGCAGGCTCCGCACTGACCCCAGACCAATGGTTCCAAAATGCCATTGACCATGTGCCTGCTTTGCCCCCAGTCCTTGAGTATCTCCCCTTGTCTAGACCTTCCAGCTCTTTAGCTTGGAATAGCCAAATAACCAGGCATTAGGGTTCAGAACGTGAAATCCTAAAGCATCCCAAGTACTTTGAACTGAAAGAATCTGGAAAGCCTCAGGAGCAAGGTCTCTCTGACTTTGTCTTGCCTTCCTATCTCTTGCCCTCCTTCTTCCCTGAAGCAATTGATAGAAACCAGAATTTCTCTTTCCCATGGCAAGTCATTAAAACTAAACCTCTCTGCTCCAGAGCAAGCCATAAAACCTAGGAAAGTCACTCTCTCCCTTCTACCTTCTCTCCTAAAGACTCATTCCAGAGGGCATCCTGTCCTGTCCTATATATCCAGCAGGAAGGAATGCTGCACAGAGCCCAGGAAGAATCTGGACAGATGAGCCTTGCCTCATTTCCCCCTCTGTCCATTTCCATTCGGTCATATCCTTTGTCCCATCACATTTCCACACAGCCCTCATTCTTCCTCAACCCTAAGCATAAAAACAGTGCTCCCAGGATCTTTAGGTCTTCATTTCTGAAGCCTCCATCCTGCATAAGGCTTTATTAAACAAATTCATTATGCTTTTCTTGTGTGGCCTGTCTTTTGTTAGAGCTGAGTGTCAGCTGTGACCCTTAGGATGAGTAAGGAAATGCGTCACACATTTCTACCCTGCAGTGGCAAGAAGGAATATTGAATGTCTCGGAATTTTTTGAGATTTAAGGCTGGCTGCCCAATTCTTACTTCTAAACAAGTTTCCAGAAGCTTTTTAAAAATTGTTATTATTTTTAATGAACCTCAAGCTGGGCTAGTTTAGGCCTCACTAGCCCACATGGAAATCATATGCTGCTTTATAATTTTATGTTTTGCAGTGCTGGGAATCAAACCCAAGGCCCAGCATATGCTAGGCAAGCAGTCTACCATTAGAGTCCTTTTTAGGGAGTAATGAAATTTTAAGAATCTGAAAAAAATAAACAAGCCTTGGACCTTCATCCAATGTGAGTTTTCCAATCTGTCCTAGTGAAGAATGTTATCTGGAAAATGTCACAAAAAATAAATGCAATGAGATTGAATGCTGAGTCTACTTTCTTAAATATAAATACATTGGCACCCCTCCCCCAAGTCAGTGAAGAAAGGCAAGATGTTTTTTCTCCACTCTTCCTCATTCCTCCACCCCCAATCTCGTTGCAAGAACAGTGTTCTGTGTTCTGCTAAGCTTCTGATTGTCATGGGCTGTGGTCCACTGTAGTTAGCCCAGGGGTGGTAGGTATTTTTGCAACACAGAATATCTTTCAGTGTTGCAACCCTGTTGTCTTTCTCTTCTATCTTCTTTCAACAGAAAGAAAAAAAAAAATTCTTGCTTGAGGTAGAGTATGTACTTAGCATACTTGAGGCCCTGGATTCAATCTGTAGCACCAAAGCCAAATCAAAATCTAAACCAAAACAAAAAATGTAAAGTCAGTAAAATCTTACTATACAACTAAGACAAGCCAAGGAGGAAACGAGTGGTAAATGCTAACTATTTGCTTAGGTTACTCTTAAAAACCCACATCTGCAATGTGAAATTGTCTTTTAAATTAAATTTGGTGGTAGTGATTCCTAAGGGCTTGTAGTATCATACTTTTTTCTTTTGCTACTAAGAGCTGAGGGTGTAACCCAGTGTCAGAGCACTTGCCTAGCATGAGTGAAGCCCTAGGTTCCATCCCCAGCATGACAAAAAAAAGAAAGAAAAAAAGAAAGAAAAGTACTACTAGAAGATCATTTATTTTTTTCCTATGATTCATAAATTTTTTCTTAATCAGTAAAGAAGAGATCATTGTATCACCAGTAAAACTGATGGGTCTAAACAGAATGTTCCAAATTTCTTCTAAAAGTTTTATTTCTTCTTTTGTAATTGGGTTCAAGATTTGCTGGTTTTGCTTAGGGTGGGGACACAATGTCTATTGTAGTCATGTTGAAGTTCAACATTATTTGATTATCAGAAGGTAACTCTAAATGTCAAAAACAATTTTTGAAATTGTTATTTTCCTGAGTTGTTGCTTTCTTTTTGTGGCAATATAACTGAAGCAGCTCTCGGTGTTTTTACAGCAGAGGGAATGATTGCCCCTTCTCTCTTGGATGATTTAAAGAAAGGACAAAAGAGAAGCTGTGTTTTCTCCCTCTTCTAGGTCATTTGGGAAAATGACAACTCTTCAGATGGTTGGTTAAAGGCTTCGGGGCAGGATGGAGAAAGGGTGGGGTGGTATTTCTGATGTCCAGGTGTTCAGTCTTTAGATACCAAAATTGTGGATGTGAGACTTACAGTTCTGTTTTCATACATTTGTATATTCCCCTGGTTGTTTAAAAACATAGATTGAGTATCTACTCTGCTTCGAGCACTACGACATTATGGTAGGAGAAAAAGATGAATGGCCTCACGCTCAGTAAAAACTAGAGACCTGAAACTAGCTGACCTTAAAAGATGACCAGTACCAGACAGACACCTTTAGAGCCCTGGAACGTGTTGAAAACTGTATGGCCAGCTACCCACTCATGCCCCTCCTTGTGTAAATAATTTTAAAGAAGTCCAATAAAATTTAATTCTTTCTCCTAAGGATGATATTTGAGAACAAATAAACTAAACTGTTTCCCTATGTTCTATTTGACTTTGCCCCAGCTTTATTGGCACTCTAAGGATGAGCTTAATTTGCTTCCTGGGAAATCCAATCCTAAGGACACCCCTGAGAGCTGGTGACTGCAGTGGCAAAGTGCAGAGGAGACCAGAGGACAAGGCAGGCCTGAGTGCGTAGCCATCATCCTATTAAACTAGTCCTAATGCTGCATGGAAACTCACCTGGGTTTTCCTTCCAGAAGTGAAGAAACAGAGACAAATGTACGTGCACTTAATAGTTGTCCCGTTTAGCCCATGGGCCTTGTTTTGGAAGGACACACCTGGAGGCTTTTAGAAAAAAGAACTATTTCATAATCAAGTATTCATAAGCTGATGCCTTCTTCCTGAATTCAGTTTATCCACATTTAAGAATTTCATAACCACAAGGAAATCACATTTTTATTTAAGTTTTGAGACCCATTTATATTGACTAGAGGAGTCAATGAAACGGTTTTGTTGTCTTCTTATAAAATATTGAATGGGATTTGTTCAAATTACTCATTATAGGCACTCCTCAAATTCAACATTCTGTAAGTTTTTAACCACTAGTTTTATGTCTAAGGACCAGCATTATCCTAGACCTCTTTCATGCACCCCCTTATAAATTATGGCATTTTGACAGAAACCTTTCACTTTCCCATTACCAAACTAAATTTTAAGTCATTTACCAAAGTTGGCTGCTCACTAAAAAAGTTAAAAACAAAAACACATGGCCCAAATCTCATTGAGATATTTGTACTAAAGTAGCTATTATTAGTTAAATGGACTGACCAAGTAAACTTCAGCCCACCTGGGACAGACAATGTCAATTCAAATTTGAGTCATAGCAAGATTTAAGGCACAGTGCTACATTTCATGATTCTTCTGATTCTTTTAGCCAAGATGTTAGATCTGAGACAGTTGAACTACTGATCTTCTGTGAACATGACCCGCTAGCAGGTACATTAAGCATGGCTGGAGCTGAGTTCTCTGCAAATGCAGAAGCTGGGCATTCCCTCTTTGCCTTTTGGGATTTCTCCCTGCTGATCTACTACTGGAGATCAGCAAATAATTGAAATGAGTGAAGAGAGAAATAGAATCTAAAAAGGCAATAAAGAATTGCTTAAGCAAGGAATTTGATTTTAGTTGAGAGCTTTCGGGATATCTGCATGGAAGCTGTGAAGTTGAAACTTTTAAGATACGCCAAAAATTCATTCACTCAACTATCAGTATTTCAGCCTTTGATTCTGCAGAAAGGATTAAGTTGTAGGATTACTGTAGAACCCAAGCAGCCCCGGGGGTCCCATGATCCTGCAAGAAGACTTTCAAGTGAGTCATACAGAATATAGTTGGGGTTTATGAGAAAACTGAGAAATTAGGGTAAGGTTCAATAAGGCACCCCACAGACTGCCTCAGGAGAGAAAGGCTTGGCTCTTAGAGTCTGGGGTTTTTAAGGGTTTGGGGTTCCTTTGTTCTTGCCTTAGTTTCACATATCCCCCATTAAGAGGTTTATTATCTTTCATTTAGCCCTCAGCAGATTTCCTTTGTGAGGGTCCTGATGACCTAGACACCAGGGGAGGGTTGTGATGACCCGGTCACAAGAGGTGGGTGTGACATGATCTTTAAACAATCATTTCTTTAAGAGTTTATAATTAACTACATACAGCTGGGGGAATTTTGGCATACTAGTTCTCAGTTCCAGATGTCCCTCTGTTTTGATAAGATTCCCGATGTTTCCCTGTCCTGTGACCTTGGACTCTCTTTGATACATGTCTGATGTCCTCCCCCTTCATTGCCTTCCCCACCCACTTGGCTGACTGCTATACAGCAGAGTGATCTATATGAACTCAGATCAGACTCTTGATGTTCTTAGATGCTGCCTTTTCACATCTCCACAAGAGTCATGGTAGGGACATGTCAACTAATTCAATAATGATTCTGAGCTCTAGATACCAAAAGAGAAGTGGTTAACCCCTCCCCACCCTGGATTCAATCTCTGGTTTAAAAAAAAAGATGGAAAGAAAGAAAAAGAAATCTAAACTGGTGAAAATTCTATTCCAGCAGGAATGTCAAAGAATATGCATCCTCTAATCAAGCTAATTTTTGTTTTTACTTATAGTTTTGAAGCATCCCATATCATCAGAGGTAAATACTTGCATGGGATCATTTTGGCTTCTCATAGATCATGAGAAGTATTTAAAATTTATTTTTTCTTTCATTTTTTTTTTTAAGAGACAAGGTCTCATTGTGTTGCCTGGCCTGGCCCTGAACTCATGGAGTCAAGTGACCCTCTACCTCAGCCTCCCAAGTAGCTGGGACTACAGGAGTGTGCCACAGTGCCTGCTTTAGTGACTGTAAAAATCACTGCTTGGTCTTCAAGGCTTTATTAGGAAATGTCTGTTCTACTTATTGCAGAGATACACTGTTAAGTACTTTGACCACTCTATGTCATAAATTTCTCCTTTTTGATGAGATATTTCCAAAGGTTTCAATTTTTTTCCTATTTTATAGACATGGCCAATCTTCTAAACCTTTGTGTTCCCTCTTTGCTTTGCCTGATAGGAAGCTGAGAGTCTAATTTGCAACCTGCTTTGGAACCTTAAAGCAATTCATTAAACTTGCTCCAGGCTTTATTTTCCCTGTGCCTGGTTTCTTCATTTATTATTTTGTATTTTATTATATATGTTAGACTATAAACTGCTCAAAACTTAAGAACAAAATGAGGGTATGAATTAGAGTTTTTCAGCTCTACACTATTGGGCCAAACATCTCCTGTTGGGAATTGGAGAAGGCAAGCTGTCCCAGGCAGTATAGGATGCTTAGCAGCATTCCTGGCCTCTGCTCACTAGATGTCAACAGCAGTTCTACCCCATCCCACTACCCCACATTGTGGTAACTAAACCTATCACCAGACATTGCCAAATATTTCCTTGGGAGCAATACCACCTCTGGTTGAAAATCACTCCTGTTTAAAAACTTGTATGAGTGAATAAATAAGCTGGTACTGAGCACTTAATATTTTTTAGGCTATCTACAGGACACTGTCCTTACAAGACATAACAATGACTGAAATCCAGTTATTTGCCCTCTGACAATCCTACAAATGAGTCAAGGAGAAAAGCATCTAAGTGCTTAGAATACATCTATTTAAATTTCATATAGATGTTCTCACAGCTTCCTGTTTTTTTTTAATGACCCTGGGAAGAAGGAAGTGAAGATGCTGTCTCCACTGAGAGCTGGCCAAGCATCAGTGCCATAATTAGAGCCCGGTGACTTCCCCTGCAATCTAGTGGATGCTCCACCACGCCTGGAACATTTTCAGCAAGGGAGAGGCAAATCCAGCTTGGAGGATTAGAAAGGGCTTCATGGAGGAGTTAGTTTTTGAGATGAGATGTTAATAGGTAAAGAAGGAGACAGGAGGGCTAGGGCTCAGAAGTGGAGAACCCGCCTCGCATGTGTGAGGCACTGGGTTCGATCCTCAGCACCATATAAAAATGAATAAAGATATTGTGTCCAACTACAATTAAAAAAATAAATAAATAAATAAATAAAAAGAAAAGAAAAGCTCTTAAAAAAAAAAAAGAAGAAGGAGACAGGAAGCAGGGACAGACAGCAGTTGCAGCAAAAAGGGAAGGCTTTCAGAGTGATGGCCAGATAGTGTAAAGAAGCGGAAATCAAAAGGACTGGGAAAAATAGAGCAAGTCATGTTGTGAGGAGCTTCGGAGGACAGACCTGAAGGGTTTGGGGTGAAAATGCATCTTCCCCCAGGACCATGTATACCTATCTCACAAATTATGGAATAATTTAGATAATAATAAAGGTAGATAAGAAGCTTAATAAGTTAGGTCATGAGAGAGGCGAGCTATGGTGAAATGACCCTGGAGGCTTCAAAGGACCCAGCTTATCATCTGCTCTTTATCTCTTCTCCCACAAACCCAGATTATATGATTTACTGAGCCAAGTTCCTTTTACATTTTTTTAATTGGCTCTTTTTAAATTATACATGACAGTAGAATCCATTTTGGTATAATTATACAAACATGTAATAGATCTTGTTCTAGTTAGGACCCCATTCTTCCGGAGGTACACAATGGTGGGATTCACTATGGTTCTCCTCTCCCCCTTTTTTGTGGGTTAGCTTCCACATACCAGCAAAACCATTCAACTTTCAGCTTTTGGGGATTGGCTTATTTCACTTAGCATGATAGTCTCCAGATCTATCCATTTACTCAGCCATAAAGAAGAAAGTCATTCTTCTTTATGGCTGAGTAATACTGCACTGTGTATATAATACTCCATCCCTTTTACTTTATTTGTTAATTTTATTTTATTTTTTGATACCAGGGATTGAACTCAGGGGCACTCAACCACTCAACCACTGAGCCACATCCTCAGCCCTATTTTGTATTTTATTTAGAGACAGGGTCTCACTGAGTTGCTTAGCATCTCACTTTTGCTGAGGCTGGCTTTGAACTCGCGATCCTCCTGCTTCAGTCTCCCAACCTTTTACTTTCTTTTTTTTTTTTCTAAAGAGAGAGAGAGAGAGAGAATTTTTTAATATTTATTATTTTTTTAGTTACCGGCGGACACAACATCTTTGTTTGTATGTGGTGCTGAGGATCGAACCCGGGCCGCACACATGCCAGGCAAGCGCGCTACCGCTTGAGCCACATCCCCAGCCCCAACCTTTTACTTTCTTGATGAAAAAAGAATAACTGAACTTTGCTGGTGTCAGAAAAATATCCAGTCTTGTACTCTCAAAAAGACATATTCCTGAGAAGCCTCCTAATTTAAGCATTATCAGACCTGAACACCATTTTTAACACGAAGAAAAATGGTTCGTAGTAGATTTTATTTACAGAAATGTAGAGCTTAAATTAGGAATTGCCATACCTGTCACTATGCATAAGTCTCCCTATAACAGGAAATAATGAATAATGCATTGTTTTGATTAAGATTTCAGAAATGGCGTCATTGGTACTTTAGGCAGAATCCTACTGCTGAACTCTGACGCCCATAGGTTCTGGGGGAGTCAAGGAGAAAACTAGACTCAGATAGGACTCAATCCCAGGATCAAAATCCCAGCTAGTGGTTCCAGCTTCAGAGAAGCTCGAGGAGGGGAGCAATCATTGAAAGAAGCAGAGTCTGATGGGACCTGGGGGAACTTGAGGCTACAGGGGTGCGGGAGCCTGAACCCAAATAGGGCAGGTGACTATTCTCCTTTCTCCATTCCCACTGTACAAAAAGAAGGGGCCCTTTCCTCAGCGATGGCCTAACAGATGACAAAGCACAGGCCCTTCTCCATTGAC